CGATCCCGGCCACTGCAGCCTCAACCTGCTGGGCTCCGGCGATCCTTCCGCCTCAGCCTTCCGAGTAGCTGGAACTGCAGGCGTGCACTACCACGCCCGGCTATTTTTTGATTTATTGTAGAGATGAGGTTTTGTCTGCCCAGGCGGGTCTCGAACCTGCAGGTTCAGGCAATCCACTCACCTCAGAATGAATCTTACAGAGTACTTTTGCTACCTAATATCACAACCATTTTCCACACTGTTAAAGTCTCAAATATCAGTTTTATTATTTTACTTTTTCTTTGCATAGATCAATTATTTAATTATTTATCTACTGGTTGGGCAAAAATAATAATTTCCCTTTATAAATAAGTCAATTATAAATAATGTTACTCTTTATAAAGTGTATGTGCCTCGTGCAGATTGGGAAAAAGGGAGGTGGCTAGTAAAACTTCATTTAATAAAGCCTTTCATGGTGCTTGTGAAAACTGCAGATTATTTTCTTAAGCCTTGTATCATAACTTTATACTGTCATCATCAGAGTCTGAATGTATGTTTGCCAAAATTTTTGAATATGATCATTATGTTTGAACTATGATTGGTGATATATCACTTTCACAAGTAGACATTGCCAGGAGCTATTCTGAAGATTTGTTTTGGATATTCTTAGATAACGTTGAGACTTTACTATTATTTTGTGAAACTAGATGAAAACTTTCCATCTTTCTCAAGGCATTGAAGTTTTGGTTCATGGAAAGGGCTAAGATGCAGGCTCTGAACTCTTTATGCTTATAAAAACTGGTAAATTCAAACTGTCTTCAGATCGTAGGCACCTAAAATGGTTAAAATGCTTAGAAAAAGCAGGCTTGATGATTGTCTGAAGTGCTTTCCATTTTAAACAGATGTCTTTTATTCACTAGAGTAATTTAGGCCATTTAAAGTATTTACATAGCTGACAAAGTGAGAGCATGACTGACTGCCTGATGTGTAAACAGTCAGTTCAGTTAGAAATCATATATTTTTTCAGTGCTGACTAAACTGACTTGATATTCCAGTATCAGGTAGTCAGAGACTGCAATAAATTCATAAATGTAAAAAAATAATTTTAAATATGTGTTGAGTATTTAATATGTGCCAAGCCTAAGTCTAAGCATTTTACACCCATTTAGCTCATTTTATTCTCGAAAAAAACTTGTATAGTAAGTACTATTATCATTTCCATTTTACAGAGCAACAGAAAACTGAGGTATAAAGAGATCAAGTAACCTGCTTTAGGTAATAAACCTAGTGGAAAACATGACACCTGAATGTAGACAATAGGAATCAAAAACTTTTGCCCTTAATAACCACTCTCTACAATAAAGATTAAGAATATAGATAATGATGATAAGTATTTTTATGATGAAAAAATTATTGTTAGTTACCACTGTTGAGTGTTTATCTTTTCCAGGCCGTATATTTGGAACTTTACCTATATATTTTGTGTAATCTTTTAAATCACCTTTATGAGATGGGCAAGTTTTCTCATTTTAAAGATGAGGTATCTGAGTTTAAAACATTTTTTCAATTCATACAGGTAAGAAGTGAGCAAGTTGGGATTCACTCCAACATGTACATAACTGGGGGTCTGCACTCCCGAGTTCACATTGCCTTTGCCAAGGTGACTCCTCTTCTCTGAAACACAAATTTGAAGCTTTGACCTGAACCTATGTGCTTACATTATTATATTTTTCTGATAATTATGATAATTATATTGATACTCCAGTTTTTCAACCATAAGCATTCTATTTGTACTGAGTCCAGAGATTGGCATGTGGAAACTAAATTCACCTTTTATGTAGGCTGAATAAATTATCTGTCAAACAAGAAGTTTTAGATCCTGAAGTTAAAAGGTCACGTTTTGTCTCTGAAGATTTAATGCAATGATGAAGACCAAAAGTTATGGGTTGGGACCATCATTTATTCTATTTCTAGAATGCACATAGAATTCTAGATTTCCAGAGTTGGAAAGATATTAGAAGACAATTAGTTTAACTTTCTTATTTTGCAAACTAACCATCAATCCAATAAACAAACTCACTATAACTTTAGATCTTAAGTGCTTCTAAAATATTCTCTTAAATTTCTTCTAATAATCCGTAAACATTTTTATTTAGGAAAAATAAATGTACTCTGGATTGAGCCAATTTACATAAAATATGTTATCTATATGCATAAATGTAGACTCTGAGGGACTACCTGTTCCACCAAGATGGAGTAGCCCTATTCCTCTATAGGTAAAAAAATCTAAGTAGAACACAACAATTAAGCATAGTAACATATTGCAAATTGACAAAAAAAAAAAAAAATTGACTGCATAGAGACTTTGGGACTTGAAGAACAATATGATGATGAGTTCCCAGGGTTTTCTTATTGTCTCCCATACATCCTGGAGAAAATGGTGCAGAGGCTTCCAACTCAGAACTGACAATACACATGGTCAAACAAAGCTCCATGAAAATTCTATTTTCCCTAGCTAAATGACGTGGAAAAGAATGACCAAACATAACAGAAAACATATTTATGCATTTATTTATTTTACAATATCCATCCTATATCAGACCCTCCTCCTACCCCCAAAATATGAAAAAACTGCCTCACTCTCGCGGTTTCACTGGGGTTGAGTGAAGATCCGATATTCTACTCAACCTCCCTCTCTGACAAAGCAGGTGGTGCCCTTCCATTACTATGCCATATGGTGTTAGTGAGGACAAGGCCGATCCCTCATTTCTCACCTGGCAGATTCACATGATATTGTACTGATTTATCTGCAGAGTACTGTCAGTAGCACCTAGCAAATTAATCTTCTACTGAGTAGGTGCATTTGGATCTCTGATTCTACCTCCAAAATAGTATTATTAGTGGGGCTTAGCAGAAAGCTGAAACTACAGGCCTACTCAGCAGCAACAAGACTTAATGAGACAGTTCGAAGTGGGACTACTCACCTCTAGACTTCATTTCCCTACTGGTGTCAGTAAGGTCCGGCGAGGAGCTATCTGGCATCAGCAAAACTGAACAAAGCAATGAAGAGAAGCATGCCATCTCTGGAATCAGCAGGTCTAATGGGAAGCTTAATCTCCACATCCAACATTAATAAGGTTTAATAATGTGGTTGAGGTGAGACTAGTTGGTTTTCTGCTTCCGCTTCTTAACCTCCCCTGGCATCAGCAAGGTCCAGCAATAAACTGAGTTTCAATACCACCCTGCAGCTATAAATTTGTACATACAAAATATGTCCAAGATCTGATGCTGAAAATTAAAAAATGCTAATGAAAATAATCAAGGGCTTAAATAATTTGAGAGGCATACTATTTTTATATATTGCGATCATTAACAGGATAGATATATCAATTCATTTTTAAAGGTTTCATTCAATTCTTATTAAAATTCCAGCAAATCTTTTTTAAAGATATAGACAAATATATTCTAAAACTTATATGGAAAATTAAAAACCTCAGAATAGCTTAAAAAAAATCTTGACATAGAAGAAAGTGGAATAAATCATTCTACCCAATATTAAAGCATACTACGACTGGGCTCGGTGACTCAGCCTGTAATCCTGTGCATTGGGAGGCCGAGGTGAGTGGATTGCCTGAGCCCACAGGTTCTAGACCCACCTGGGCAACTTAGTGAGACTTCATCTCTACAATAAAAATAAAAAAATTAGCCGGGCATGGTAGCGTGCACCTATAGTTCCAGCTACTTGGAAGGCTGAAGCGGAAGGATCGCCGGAGCCCAGCAGGTCGAGGCTGCGGTGGCCGGGAGCTGCCACTGCACTCCAGTCTGGGTGACAGAGTGAGACTCCAACTAAAAAAAAATAATAATAATAAATAAATAAAAATAAAGCATACTACATGGCTACCAGTAATAAAGACAGTGTAGTATTGAGTGCGGCATAGGCAAATAGATAGAAAGAACAAAATGGAGAACTCAGAAATAGAAAAACAAAATTATTCCAAGTGATTTTTTTTACAAAGGCACAAAAGCAATGTATTGGAGAAAGAATGTTCTTTTCAGTAATTGGTGACAGAGCAATAGGACATGCGTAGGGTAAAACAACCTAAATTTCACATTTCAATTTCAAAAGTTAACTCAAAATGGATCTTGGTACTAGGTGACAACTGTGAAATATAGAACTATAAAAATTTTATTAAAAAAAGAAAAAACTCCGAACCTTGGACTAGTAAAAAGAGTTCTTAGACTTGAGAACAAAATCATGATCCACAAATGAAAAATTAATCAAAATTAGAAAACTTTGTTGTTAAAAAAAAAAAAATGTCTTGTAAGACTCTGAAATGACAAACTAGAGACTGGGAAACAATATTTGCAAACAGCACACCAGAAATGATATGAAATACTATTAACTAGTATATATGATAAAACTTTAAAAAACAACCATAAAAATAGAAATCGAACTTCTGGTTTCCAATCCAGCAATATAAGTAATTTAGAAGTCTCAACTCTGTTTTAACAACACATAAAAAACTAAACAACTTGAAAAGTCAACAGTTCTTCTTAAATTCATCAGAAAAAGAGGTCACGGGCAAACTACTTCCCCATCCCCCAAATTGGAAAGACTGATAGGCAGATACAGAGAATCAAAACATTCTGGAACAGAAGCATATAATCAGAAACCTCCACTAGAACCAGCAATGGAATAAGAGAACGTGAAATATAACTGACACCCTAAGCGGTTGCTGCCTCAGGAGACGGTTGGGAGGACCGACCGGCTACAGCAGGCAAACTGCAAGCCCCGCGAGCACCGGAGTCGGTGTTACTATCTCCTAACAGGTTATCAGAAGTAAAAGTGGCATTTACGTCAAACGGTATTAAGATGGATTGGGTTATGAAACGTAATGGTTCAAATGATGCTAGTGATGGGACAGTATGTGGACGACCATTTGGTTGCAGCAATGAGGGAATAATTCAGTTCTTTCAAAGATTGGAAATCGTGCCAAATGGGATAACACTGACGATAGACAACCAGGGGAGAAGCACAGGGGAGGACTTCGTGCAGTTTGCTTCAAAAGCGATAGAAAATGCTCTGGGGAAACTCAAGGAAAGAATAGGGCACAGGTGTATTGAGATCTTAAGTAGCAGGAGTGAAATCAAAGGATTTTATGATCCACCAAGAAGATTGCTGGAGCCGGGCTCGGTGGCTCAGCCTGTAATCCCGTGCCTTTGGGAGGCTGAGGTGAGTGGATTGCCTGAGCCCGCGGGTTCGAGACCCGCCTGGGCAGCGAGACCTCATCTCTACAATAAATCAAAAAATCAGCCGGGCCTGGTAGCGCATGCCTGTAATTCCGGCTATTTGGAAGTCTGAGGCAGAAGGATCGCCGGAGCCCAGCAGGTCGAGGCTTCGGTGGCCGGGAGAGGCCACTGCACTCCAGTCTGGGCGACAGAGTGAGACTCCAACTCAAAAAAAAAAAAAAAAAAAAAAAAGAGAGAAGATTGCTGGGACAGCGACCGGGGCCATATGATAGACCAATAGGAGGAAGGGAGGGTTATTATGGAGCAGACCGTGGAAGTTATGGAGGTTTTGATGACTATGGCGGATATACTAATTATGGCTATGGAAATGAGGGCTTTGATGACAGAATGAGAGATGGAAGAGGTATGGGAGGACATGGTTATGGCAGAGCTGGTGATGCAAGTTCAGGTTTTCACGGTGGCCATTTCGTACATATGAGAGGGTTGCCTTTTGGTGCAACTGAAAATGACATTGCTAATGTCTTCTCACCACTAAATCCAATACGTGTTCATATTGATATTGGACCTGGCGGCAGAGCAACAGGAGAATCAGATGTAGAATTTGTGATACATAAAGATGCAGTAGCTGACATGTCTAAAGATAAAATAACATGTGGCATCGATATTGAACTCATCTTGAATTCTACTCCTGGAGGCATCTCTGGAATGGGAGGTTCTGGAATGGGAGGCTATGGCAGAGATGGAATGGATAACCAAGGAGGTTATGGGTCTGTTGGAAGAATGGGAATGGGGAACGATTACAGTGGAGGATATGGCATTCCTGATGACTTGGGTGGTTATGACCGTGGTGGTAAAGACAGTGGAGGTTACTTTGGGCAAGGTGGCCTGAGTGGAAGTGGATGGCGTGGGATATACTGAAAGCATAACCATTAACACACACGTCCTGGCGACAACATCTGATCTACTAGACTCTCCTACAGATTTCATTTCTTTTGTATTTTGAGAACTTTATAATGACCGAAGGGATGTGTTTTCAAAATATTATTTCGTAAAGCAACAGATTGTGATGGGAAAACCTGTTTTCTGAAGGCTTTATTTGTTGCATACTTTGACTTAAAAATAAATTTTTATGTTAAAAAAAGAAATATAACTGACAAATTACTGTAGTTCAATGTACACAAGTCTGAGAATAAAATCTGCAGACCTAGTCATAAAGGGCAACCCTATGCTTTCATGAGTTTTACCTCCAGGAACTCTGCCAGATCTTCACAGTTAATAGTGAGAAAAAAAAAATCCCCATGTGCTTTCAGAGAAGGGATCATTCTGAATTACACCAGGAACTGTTATCACGGGGAAGCTATTTTACCAAACCTAATCTGTGGGGATTTTATTTGAGTTCAACCTACCTGTGAGGAGAAATATTCAATTCCAGTCCCATCTAACCACCTTGTCTCACTTAGCTTGGGGGAAATACTAAGAAGTGCTTGTGAAGTTCACTGGTCTGAGACACAAGCTCAGAAAAAGACTGATAGGTAATTTTAGACCTAGTGGACACTTTCTTTCCCCTCCAAACCTTATTATCATATTGCTAAAGACCTATTTACTGCAACTCTGTTTACCCACTACATCATGTTACCTTTAAACAAAAAAAATTTACAAGGTGGACTTCAAGGCAGAAAAGATGTAAAAAGAGACTGAACTTGCATCATAACCAGAGTCAGACATGGCAGGAAAGTTGGAATTATTAAAATAGGGATTGAAAATAATTATGATTCAAATGCTAAGAGCACTAACTTAAAAAAAACATTCAAGGACATATGGATAATATAAGTAGAAATATGGAAATTTAGGAAAGAATTGGTCTTAAATTTTATAGCTCAAAAGCACTGTAACAGAAAATGAAGAATGCTTTGGATGGGCTCATTAGTGGATAAAGCTGAGAAAAGAATCTCTGAGCTTGAGAATATGATAACAGAAATTTCCAAAACTGATAAGCAAAGCTTAAAAGTTCTAAAATATCTGACAACAAAATATACAAGAACAGCTAAAAAACAAAGTGTACCATGCAAGCAATGGAAATACCAGAAGAAGAAAAACAAAAGACACAGAATAACTATTTGAAGAAACAATAACTGAAAATTTCTTCCAAATTACCAAACCATAGATCTAGGAATCTCATAAAACGTTATGTAGGATGAATGCTCAGCAAATGATATCTACATATATTATATTCAAACTTCAGAAAATCAAAGTTAAAAAAAAGAATTTTGAATAAAAGCCAAAGGAAAAAGGACCTTACTTGTAGAAGAGGGAAGATAAGAATTATATTCAACTTCACTTAAAAACCATGTAAACAGGAGGAGAATGGAGTGAAATGCTTAGTGTTCAGAGGAAATACCCATCAATCAAGATGTCTGCATTCGATGAAATTATCCTTCAAGTTGAAAAAGAAGTAGACTTTCTCAGACAAACAAAAATTGAGAAAATTCATTGCTAATATACTTTCCTTGCAGCAAATGATATGTTTATCGATAGGTTTTTGGAAACTGCAACTTTAAGCAAAATGACATATAATAAAGCCACTTTTTTTCTCATCAGTGGTATAGTGAAAGGACAGTATTAATTGCGGACCTGTTACAAGCCATTTCATTTAAGGTCACAACTTGAAACAACTATCAATGACATTAAGTGAGGACTTACTGTATACTACACCCTGACCTCTAATTGAGGCACTTGCCTATCTACCTTCCCTTTCATGACTTCCCACTTGCTGGGTTGAGCAGCTTCCTGGCAGCTCCCATATGGTCGCCTGAAAGACATACAGTACCGCCTGTCTTCTAGGACCTGTGGGTATAATAAATTTCTTTCATTAAACAAAACAAAATTAATGCTGTGTTTTTCAGACAGAAAAAATATAGGTCGGAAGTTCAGATCTACATAAAGATAGGAAGGTCATTAGAAAATAGGAATGAGTTAAGGTCAAATTTTTAAAAATATATTTTTAATTGATCTAATTGATGGACATTGAGTCCCAGAGATGGCTTTGTAGAAACACTGGATACCAGAAGTCTGGTCTTATTTTCCGTGAGTTTCAAATCCTGCAAATATGTTATTTTCTGCTTGTATTTGGTTGAATACCCTGAAGCAGAGCCTGTAGATATGGAGAACCAAAAGTATTTTTTATATATGCATACACACATATGGCTACGACTGCATATAAGTGAAACGAATGGCAGCAATAATACAAAGAATAGAATGGAGTAATTAGGAAATTTTTGTTTTTATAAAGTACTTGCACTACTTGGAAAATTGTATTGTATTATTTGAAAGTAGACTTTATTAGGTATAAATTTATATGCAAACACTAGGGCAACCACTAAGACAAGTCTTAAAAAGTAAAAATAATATGATACAAAAGGAGATATGATGGAATCATAAAATTCTCAACTAAAATTACAAATGGTAGAAAAGTGTAAAGACGAAAATAGGGACAAAATTAAGAGTAATACACGATTTATCACAGAAACAAAGAACAGAGTTTCATATGTTTTCACTCATAAGTGAACCTTGAACAATTATTATAATACTTTGAGAAAAGGATTGGCAAGCTGGGAATCCTTAGTGGGAAACTGTCAGGGGAGGGGGAGTGAGATTGATAGTTGAGGGAAACTGCTAGGGGAGGGAAGGACATACCTCACCAACAAGGGTACCTGCATGATCAGTGTTTATATACCTAACCCTGAAATGTATCCCACATCTTTGTAATAAAAATTAAAATAAAAAAATAAAAGTATAAAATACGCTGGATGTCAATCCATGTATATTAATAATCATTTTGGTCTATAAATCAAAATATACGAATTTAAAAACAAAGATTGTTAGAGTTGCTAAGAAAACAAGAGCCAATTATATGTTGTCTATAACAAATCTACTTTATTTTTTGAACTTTACTGTGGTAAGAGCGTTTAGCATGGGATTTACCTTTTTAATATATTTTAAAATGCATATACACTAATATTGACTATAGATACACTGTTAGATAGCAGACCTCTGGAGCTTATTCATCTTGCTTGACTGAAACTTTGTGTTCTTTGATTAGTAACTCCCCATTTCCCCATCTCTCTGTTCCTGGTAACCATATCTGGTGCTGTGAATTGACTATTTTAGATACCTCATATGGGGGAAATCATACAGTAATTGTCTTTCTATGACTGCCTTATTTCAGTTGACATAATGTCCTTGAGGTTCATCCGTGTTGTCACATATGGCAAAATGTCTTTAAAAAAACTGAATGGCATTCTACTATATTCACATATTAAATTTTCTTCATTCATTTGTTGGTAGATATTTCAGTTGTCTCCACATCTTGACAATTGTGCATAGTGCTGCAGTAAGCACACGAGTGCTAATATCTCTGAGATTCTGACTTTAATTCTTGTAGATAAATACTCAGATGTAGAATTGATAAATTATATGGTAGTTTAATTATAAAGAACTTTAAATATAAATACACCTATAAATTAAAATTAAAGAGATGGAGAGAGCAATATCATGCTAACACAAATCAAGAGGAAACTTCAGGAGTAGGTCGCTACATTAATTTCATACAGAGTAGAATTCAGAACAAGCAAAGTAACCAAAAATAAAGAGATAATACATTACTTAATGATAAGGGCATCAATAATCCTAGAAAACCTATCTTTAATGTGTCTAACAACAGAGCATCAAAATAGCTGAGACAAAAACTGATAGAACTGCAAGGAAAATTAGATGAATCCACTATTACAATTGGAAATTTTATCATTCATTTATTAGAAATGGACAAATTCAGCCAGTAGAAAATCAGTAAGGACACAATTGAACTCAATGACACCATCAATCAACTGGATATAATTGACATTTATAGACTATTCATCTAAAAACAGCAGATTATATATTACTCTCAAGCTCATATGGAATAGTCACCAAGAGAGACCACATTCTAGTCCATAAAACACACCTTAACAAATGTCAAAGAATAGAAATCATACAATATCTGCTCTCAGATGACAATGGAATTAAGTTAGAAATCATTAATGGAAAGATAGCTGGAAAAATCTCAAGATATTTGAACATTAAAACAGCACACTTCTGTATAACACATGGGTCAATACTAAAGTCTTCAAAACTCTATAGTTAACATCATATTCAATGGTGTAAAACTCAGATGTTTCCTGCTAATATCAGGATCAAGGTAAGGGTGGCCCCTCTCACTATTGCTTTTTGTTTGTTTGTTTTAGATTTAGAGGGTACACATGCATGTTTGCTGCATAAATATATTATGTAGTGTTGGGGATGGGGTCTCAGGCGGACCATTCCCCAGATAGTAAACATTTCCCACAGGTAATTTCTGAACCCTAACTCCCCTTCCCATCTCCTCCCCTTATTGGTGTTTAAGTGTATATTTGTGACCATTTAGCTCCCACATGTAAATGAAAACATGTGGTATTTGGCTTTTTGTTTCTGAGTCAATTCACTTAGGAGGATGTTCTCCAGTGCCATCCATATTGCTACAAAGGAATGTTTTTTAACATTATACTTGATGTCCTAGCTAATTCAACAATACACAAAAGTAAATCTTAAAAGTATACAGACTGGAAGGGAAGAAATAAATTTGTCTTTGTTTGCATGTGACATGATCTTTTATGTAGAAAATCTAAAAGAAATGAAAAAACACTTGTGAAACTAATAAGTGATTAAAGCAATGATTGACTATACAAAGTTAATATACAAAAGTCAGTCATTTTTCTATAAATCAGCAGTAAAAATGTGGAAATATTTTTAAATTACCATTTACCTAATCTTCCAAAATGAATAATTAAGTATAAAACTAAAAAATATGTACAAAATCTATAAACGTAAAACTACAATACTCTAATTAAAAGATATCAAATAAATAGTAAATAAATGGAGAGATAGCCAATGTTCATAGTTAGGAAGACTCAATATTGTCAAAATGTCAGTGCTTTCCAACTTGACGTATAAAATCAATGAAATTATTTTTAAAAATTCTAGCATGTTATCTGGTGGACATTGATAAACTAATTTTAATATTTATATGGAGAGGTAAAAGACACAGCATAGTCAACTCAATATTGAAAA